CCCAGCCGCTGGGGAAGGCGTCCCTGCAGACAGGTGGGCACCGCCACTTGGAAACTCAGAAATCAGTATCAGTCATGCAGCCAAGATCCTGACAGAGGCGTTTGGCCAGACCTTCACTGAGGAAAGGACCTGGGCTGCACTCAGCATGGGCACGACAGGCCCGGCTTGGGACCCCGGCCAGAGAAGCTCAGGTTTGGACCAACACACGCAAACAAAACCACTTCCAACCTTGCCCAAACAAGGGAAAAGTGAAGAACAGTTCTGGGGAGAGCTGATACGGCTGCAGTCCCTTCCCAGAGACCTTCGTGACTTTGAAGGGTGAGGGCAGCTCACCCAGGCCCTCGTGCTGAATTTTATATGAGAGGGAATTCATGAAAGCACAGACAGTGTGCTCTGGGAGGACCTGCTGCTTCGGGAAGGGACGCTGTGCTCCCCCTGGGAACTCCTCAGCGCCCCCATGGGCAGGGGCTAGCCCAGAGCCAAGCTGCTAAGGTTTGTTTTCCAAGCACAAGTCAGGGAAGCAGGGTTTGGGGTAAAGGACATGGTTTTCAGGGCTCAGGGAGTCGGCCGGCCTCACTCCCTGCCTGCCTGCCTGCGGGCCTCGCCTGTGAGACTGGAGGGCACACGAGTCCTTCCCTTCCTCCTCCTCCGCCAGACCTCAGGTGGCATGGAAAAGCCGACAGCACCCTCGCGGGTACAGCCCTCAGGCTGCCTCCAGCATTTACTGCCGCTCCTTTGTATGAGCTTCAAAATAGGTGTCCCCTCTGGGTAGACTAACCCCCGGGGAGCAGGCTTCGCTAGCTGAAGGCACCTGTGTGAGAAGCCACTTTGCATCCCTCTGGGCAAACGCAGCCCTGCGCCAGGCACACAGCCTGGCCCCAGCAGCGTCCAGACTCGATCTCGGCCCCGCTCACTCTGCCCAGTACCTTTGCACAGTGCACAGTCCTGAGCCCAGGGCGGGCCTGTTGGAAGCCACCTCTCAATCTTGCCGCTGACAAGAAGCAGGTGCTTGACAAGTGTTAGAAGCATGAGCGAAAGGAAACTGGACCTGTGTGGGACCGTGGGTACAGCCCTCTTCCTCCCTAGCCGCACTCCAAATGATTCGACTGATGTCAGAAATCCCAGCACTAAGGTTTTATTTCTGGAGCCGAAGACTCTGTGCCCCAGGAAGATGTGATTTCCTCGTAAAGGGGGAGTGACTGTTCTAAGCCATCATCTCAAAGGAGCCATGGTAAAATGAAAGGCGCCCCCAGATACACCCCCACCCCAAAGACCTGCAGACTCTGCCAAGTGGTTTTCCCTCCCTGCACCTCGGTCTCCTCCCTGCCATCTGGAAGGCGGCGGGGCTCCACCAAGTGCTGTCCTCAGCTGTTTCAGCTGCCTCTGGGATCGGCTTCCACCGCCTCGGCCGATCCTTACCACCGTCCTGGAGAGCTGCGGGCCGACATCGGGCCCCCGCCGACAGGTGAACAGGCCGAGGGACCTTCCTGCCTCGCTCGAGGCTGCACACACAGCCCAGGTGCAGGAACCCAACCCTCTGTGTTCTCATGACGCTGGTTTACAAACGGGGGACCTGGAGCCCTGAGGTCCCCAGGGGTGCCCCAGAGTCCGGGACGGGGGACCAAATCAAGAGGGAGGCAAGCTGCCACGCTTAAGATACCTTTGGCAGAAGAGGCTCCACTGCTGAAGACAGTTTGAAAATCATCACATCACGTGGTGCCATGTCCTTCCATTCCAGCTTCAAACGGACACATTTGGGAACAGCCAGGCCATGCACCTGCCTCCCCCCACCCCCTGCCGTGAGGAGCATCGGCTTTACCAGCGGTGCAGGTCTCCTCCTACAACTTCTGCACCACCGAAAACAAGTCCTTGGAGGCCTGGGTTCTTTCTCCCACTTGCATGATCATGACTCAGCTGAGTCTCTGTCTTCCGATCGATTCCTCAGGAAGGAAGCGATAGCATCAGACTCCCTGAGACACGTGGTCCCACAGAGGACCCTCCCAGAATAGGGCTGATGGGTACATTGTCATGCTGGTGTTTAAGCCCCTGCCCCACTCCCCAGTCTTGTTATAAAAATTCTAGAAGCATTCCGTCCCCACTCACAAGTTGGTCCTTTCTGCATAGTGATTTGGATGGCAGAGGCCCAGTGGGTCACCCAACCCATCAGCTATAGGCCCTAAGGACCTTAGAAATGTCCGTGAGCCCACCCTCAAAACGGGAGCCAGCCAGGAGCCCAGTGCACAGTGGGAGGAACGTTCGTACAGCTGGAACACTCAGGTAGCCTAAAACCACGGTGGGCGTGCAGCCGGCTGGCCAGAGCGGAGAGGACATGGCAGGGACGGAAGCAGACAGCCCTGTGGTGGCACCAGGAGTATGTTTATCTCCCAGGAGGGGCAGGCTTCTGCCAGGGCCCAAACTGAAGGACAGATACGTGTCACCCCTGTTCCTGCACAGTCCCTATGTGTCACAGGTGTGCAGTGAACACCTGGGGAGCCGGACCTCTGCAGGACAGGAGGCAGGACTGAGCCAGCACTGCTGCCATCAGGGCTCAGCTGGATTGGAGTGGCCTGTTTCCATGTCTGGGGGACCCTGCGTCAACCCATTATCTCCGTGTGAGGCTGGATCCCCCATCGAGGGGGGGACCCACAGGCTGGAAGAACAGATGGGGACGCAGGCCCGCGTCTAGCCTGAGGGGCTCTCTCCTAGCCTGAGGAGACTGCTGTTGGGGAACATGATCACCAGGAAAGAGAGGGGCTGTCCAGGAGGGTTGAAGTCAAAAAGTCAGCAGCGTTAACACACCACAACTGTGTGATACACACCTGCCCTTTTCCAGCCTCAGGGCTCAAAGCTGGAGGTGGGGAGATAGAAGGGTCGCTGTCCAGGGGTGAACCGTGGACCCCCTCAGGAAATCACATGCTGGGCCTCAGCCGTCAGAGAGCGCAGAGCCTGGGCTCCCCTCTGAGGGGAAACGTGGGTCAGAAGTGGCTGTCAGGAATGGCAGCGACGGAGCAGGCCTCCAGGGAGCTGGCGTCACTGCCCTACCGGAGGAGACAGGAGACTGAAATCGTGTGTGGAAACAGCACAGGTTCGCCAGGGCAGAGCCTGGGGTGTTGGGGAGCAGGAGGGACACAGGTTCGTACGGCCAGTAGAACCAGCTACCACCAAGGGCTCCGAATGCCAGGCAAGGGGACCTGGATGGTACCTGGGGGCAGGGGAGCCTCTGTTCACAGGACTCCAGCCAGGCTCTGCCTCCAGCTGGCCTGAGACCCGGGACAAGCTGTTCAGCCCCCATGCCCCTGTTTCCTCATCTGTGCAACGGCCCTGTGCACCTGAGTACCATGGGATCCTGTGCAGGTAAGGGAGAAAGGCACAAAGCACGTGTTTAATGAACATCAGCCGCTGTTACCGTTATCAGTCATTCTGCCATTCGTTCGTTCCTTCAGCAGCTGCTTCCTGAGCTCTGACTGTGCCGGGGGCTCGTTTCATCCCTGGGAGCACAGCGGTGAGCGGCGCAAACACAGTCCCTATGCTCGTGTGGCTTACAGCTTGCCTTCTAGAGGGGGCCCACACCGGCACGGGATGCAACCCAGATCAGCCTGCTGGTTGGCGTCAGGGAGGACAAGAAAGCAGAGAATGGAGCAGGGTTGTGCTAAGTGCGTAAGCTGGTCAGGCAAGGCTGAAGGACTCCAGGGGCGAACAGAAGCAGGGACCCACACGGAACGGGCGCTTTTCTGCAGGCGGGAGGACGAGCTCTGCCTCGGGAGGCTGACCCACCAGTGGCTGTGCAAGACAGACGGTATGGCCAGCAGCAGGTGAGGGGCCCGAGGAGGCCCTGGGCTAGTCAAGGCACTTCCAGAGTGGCCTCCAAAAGACCGCAGATGAGGTGCACAAGGAAAATAGTGACACTTTTCTGTTCCTTTTGTATTATGTTGTCCTTCCATTTCTGTTTTGGCTTGCGTTGTATTACACATAAAATATTACTGTGCGTGGAACTTGGAGGTGGAGAGCCAGTGGTCCAGGCAGGAACCCACAAGCCAGGGGCTGCTCAGGACCGAGGAGAAGGGGTTGGGGGTCCCAGAGCTCAGCAGCCACCTGAGTAGGACTCAGGGCAGTAGTCTTGACGGATACAGCCAAGGAAAGAGGAGAGGGGTCTGATGTCCTTGAAGACGCAGGCCCAGCACTGGGACCCCAGGCTCTTGGGAGAAGAGGGCACCTGAGCACACCCCAGAGCCGGGGCGGGTGACACTTGAACATCCCTCCTCTTTGGGAGGCAGGGGCTGTCATGCAACTCAGGACTCCATGGGAGAGAGTCAAGGCCTGCGAGTAGAGGAAAGGTCATTTTCCTGCTTTTTGAAAAGTGACAGCTTGGTTTTCAAAGGGCTGTGTTGGTGTTACGAGGTTCCTAGTTTCCGGGGCATGGTACCTCTCCCTGGATGGAGGGCAGGGTGTGATGGACCAACCATTTTTTCTCCTGCCTGTCAACATGGAAGCTGCGGCCTGCTCCCCGTGTGCCCTTTCTGGCGTCAGGAGAACAGGCTAGGGGGTAGAGCTGGTGCCCTTGAAGGGCTGTGTGCCTCTGGCTTCCTTGTCCTTCTGTCATCCCAGCCCTTTCTTTATGGTTGTCAGAGATGAGGGCAGGTGCCCTAGATACCAAGGTGGGCCCTGAACGTGGGTGACCTTGGTGGGGTGGGGTGGGTCAGGCCGGGTAGGCCTGCCTCCCCTCCGGCAGGTGGTGACACGTGTGCCCTCCAAGGCCCTACACCGGGAGTGACTGGAGTCCCTGTGTCACCGTGGGCGGAAAGGCCCGCCAGCCTGCAGCTGTCTCCAGTTAGGCTGGGGGATTGGCTGGCTCTGGGCCCTGCATATTCCAGATGGGCCCCTGCCAGATTCCCAAGGGAGGGGCGCTGTAAATGTCCCCCACCCCCAGAATCACAGCCGTTTGCAGGGCCTCTGAAGGGCAGTGAACCAGAAAGCATCTGCCTTCTGCTCTCTACCCGCAGCTGAAGTCTACATTGGCATCGGGAAGCCTGCAGAAGCCACAGCCTGTACTCAGGAAGCTGCCAACCTCTTCCCGATGTCCCACAACGTCCTATACATGCGCGGCCAGGTCGCAGAGCTCCGAGGAAACCTTGAGGAAGCCCGGCGGTGGTACGAAGAAGCCTTATCCATCAGTCCCACCCACGTGAGGAGCATGCAGCGACTGGTGAGTCCCCGGACCAGGCTAGGACCCCATTGCTGGATTGGGGCTCCCCTTGGAAATAGCAGGTAGCTCGGGACCCCTAAACCCTCAGCCAGTTTTGAAGGCCCAGGCACTTAGCCCGCCAGGCTGTCCCGTTGCCTGGGGCCAGCAGTGCCATTCCCGGGTGGTTTATCCAGTGGGAGTTGGCCGTGCTCAGCCTTTGCCACTCCACCCAGTGGTCCTGTTCTGTGCAAGGGTCCGGTGGGAGTCGCTGGTCCCCTGGCCACTGCCCTTGTCACCTTGGTCTCTGTGCTGCTAGTGGCAGCCACCTCGTGGGATGTCCATACGCCAGAGCGACCCCAGCTTGTCTCTGACGCTGCCAGCTAGTAGGAGTATCCTATCCGCGGAGGGAGAGGTGGACCCTCTTATGTTGGGAGGACCCAGGTAAGTCACCTAGTTCATACCCTGCGTATGGGGGTGGTGGCTCCCCAGAAACGCACCTGCGCCCCTCCCAGATGGCCAGGCCAGAAGCCTGGGGCAGCCCCGCTGCTCCCCTCCCTGGCTTGCCAGAGTCAGCTCTCCCTCCGCCTGGGTTTTGGTTAGGTGGGGGAGCAGACTAGTCCCCCTGCCGGGTTCTTCTCGTTAGGCTGACTGTGTTAGGCACGTTGAGCACAGCTGCCCCACAAAGCTGGCAGTGTCCTCCCGTCTTCCTGTGAGGGTCTGAATTGAAACTCAAAAGGTACCAAACTCTGTGTTGCTGAGTTGCTGGTAGTTGCCTCTCTGTGCCTGCGTGCCCAGCTGGGGTTCGGGATCTGCGCTTCGTACTCAGTGGCAGGCTCTGTCTGATCTAATGAACCATGAGAAGGGGGAAGCTGAGACTGAAGCCGAGGTGGCCTTCGTGTGCGCAGCCCTTGGGAGCACGGGGTCCGTAGTCAGGGGTTAGCGTGTGATACAAAGAGCGAACACTGGGCAGGGAGTCTGTCTGGGGACAGACCCTGTGCCATCAGTCGCTGGCTCTTTAACCTTGGGGAAAGACCCTGAGCTGTCTGCACTCAGTTTCCTTTCTGTAAAGTGAAAACAAGCAGCTGGATGGGCTGTGAGTCTCATCCAATGCCAGGAGGGTACAGTTTGGGACCTAAGACGTAAAGTTCTCGAAAGGATCCCAAAGCCTCCATTTTCCTCATAGTCATAGGGGCAAAATGTACAAGGGGCTCAACAGTTTCAAAAATAACTAAGTACTGGTATTCCGTTTTAAAAATAAATCAGACCTTCTCATAATTATAGCTACTTGATTTCTTTCCACCTTCCCTTGAGGCGCGTATCTTATAGCTCAGTACGGCTTTATAAATAATTTTACGTATTATCCAAACATTAGCCTGTTTGATTAAAAATATTGCATGGCTTTTAATTTTTTGTCTCTCTATTGTAAGAGGGTTTTGTAAAGAGCTTTTCAGATCTCTGTGCCTTTGCTAGAGCATCGCAGAAAAGGTATAATCAACGCTTGTACCCAGGCTTTTTATTGAAAAGAAGCAGCGTGTTTCTACCTCAGGGCCCATGAATTATTCAGACAAGTATTTCTTGTTCATCCCCAAGGGGAACACATGAGACAAAAGATCAAATAGGAAAATCGCACCAGGAAAGTTTTCTGTTTCACCTTTGGAGTTTTTCGAGACACCCGAGCTCCCCGGCAAATGGCGGATGCTTTCCTTTGCAAAGGTGCAGCCGCAGGCCCGGGTAGCCAGTGAGCCCGGCCCGATGAGGCTGTGCCTTGCCTGCTGGATCAGGGGCAACGGCTGAGCCCTGTCTGGCTCAGAGGCGTTCTTGCCAGGAAAAAGCAGTCATCATAAACCCTGAAGGCTTCCTCAGTGCATCCTGATGTATTCAGGAACTGTCCGGACTGGAGGCAGGTTGAGAGCAGCAGACCTGCAAATTTCGAAGAGTTTCAATCTTTGGAGTCTAATACTGCCCAGGGACTGTGATTGGGATGGCCTCCAAAGAGCAGCTGCGATGGCCCCTTCTTGGTGACCTTGTAAATGATACCCCCTGACCTGTGTTCCCCAGACTGCCCCCCACGTGGTGTCTGTGGAGGGGAAGCCCCCCGGCCCAGGCACATCACAGCCCTCTCTCTCCTGCCTCCATCCCCAGGCTGTTCAGGAAAGCTGTGTTTCTATGGCTTGGAGCCTAAGAAGGGAAGAAGGTGGCCTTTGCAATGTACTCTAGCAGCCAAGGATGAGGCTTTGGGCCAAACAAGGTGTGCAGTTCGAATCCCAACTCTGTCACTTGCTGGCTTTGGGACCATGGGCAAGTCACCCTCTTGGTGCCTCAGTATCCTCAGACGTATGAATGGGGATAAAATTAGCACCAGACACAAATTAAAGCACAGAACTAAAGTCTCTTATCAAGTCACAAAAGGTCCTACTCTGCCCTCGCGGAAACCGGACTGAGGCACAGGGGTCAGCAGAGAGATCAGAAGTGTTCAGCAGGGAAGAGTCGGGGGCTCAAGACGTCTGTGGTGGAGGGGGTGCAGACGGCGGAGTTAGAAGGAGTTTAAAGAACTTGAGTGCTGGAGACTTCCCGAGAACCAGCCAAGGGGGTTCCCAGGGAAGGAACCCGTGCAGGCCAGCTGTGGGTCATAGAAAAAACCAGATGATGGAAAGTGTGTCTGCGCCAACAGTACTTCTGGGGGTGGGGGGTGTGGAGGAAGGAGAGGAGGTGGAGGGACTGTGGGAGGGAGCTGTTTTGGAGGAAGGAAGCCGTGTCCACTGCAGGTGGGGCCCAGGAGGTACATGGCAACGGCAGAGTACTATGAATATGGTCAGGAGCTCAGCTTGTTCCGTGATGAACAATGATTCATTAACTCCTAGGGTTGCTCGTGGTGGCGTGCACCAGAGTGCCCGACCCAGCTTGGAGGAGAGGTACAATTTAAGCAGAAACACAAACATGTGAATATTGCCTGAAAAGCAGTAATGACTTGGAGGCAGATGGTATTCATTAAAGTTAATAGAAGGTCAGACTTGACAAAAGAAATGTAAATTACACCCCAGTAAAAATGAACACGTTTCTAATAGTTTTAGCCTTTATCTGTGTGTTTAAATTCACGTACAGAGAGAAGGGAGAGCAGAAATAATGTGTTTAATATTAATAATGAGTTAGCACAAGACAAGGGAGGCAAGAGCTGAGTGTGGGCAGATATTAAGGGACTGGTGAGGGGAAGGGATAAGGAATTACTAAGTAATGTTGTTGACAAGGGGAGGAATTCGGAAAGTGATCAGACTTTTTCCAGAGAATCTAAAAGCATATTTTCATATCATTTTTGCATAAGTGCATACATTTACATACATTTGCATGCCATGTTTCATTCCCAGTACCCCAAATGAATTAATGAAACACAGAGCAAGATTTTCCACACCAGTTATCCTGTAATCTGGAGTAAGGGGAGAGGCGGAAACAGTGCTGCCCTAGGCCTGGGGGCAGAGGAATGGGCTCGCTGGACAGTGGTGCCCAGGCCCAGGGCAGGCACAGAGACTCAGGGTAGCCAAGGACAGAATTATGAGACAGGGACAGGCTTTGCAAACAAAATGTTATCCACCTAACATCTGATAATGTCAGCCTGGGCTCTTGGGGGCAATGCACGAGATTAGAGGGCGAGAAAGGAGCAAGAACTTTCAGGAGAGGAAGGAGCATGACAGGGAGCTAAGAAGTGGTATGGAGAGGAGCTGATAAAGCAAAGATGGAGAAATTAATTTATCCCAGACTGTATTAGCAGGAAACTCAGGCCTTCCTCCAGACCACTTGACAGGGTGAGAAAGTGTGGAGCAGAGGCCAGTGGTGGGGGTTTCCCAGGGCTTCCCAAAGAGAAGGGGGCAGAGCTCTGAAGAGGGCTGTGAGCTGGAGAGGGACTGGGCCCAGGGGAGCAGGGGAGGGTGGGGGCGGGCAACAGAGGCGCTGCCGAGCCTGAGCCCGCCCCTCTGCAGGGGCCAGGAGGAGAGCTGATGGGTCACCCTGAGAGGTCAGCCATCCCCTAGAGCAAGTCTGGTACGACAGAGACACTCCAGAGCTACCTCTGGAGATGAGCTACCTCTGGAGTATCTCCAGAGGTCTCTGGAGTATCTCCAGAGATACTCCAGAGCTGTTGCTCAGAGAGGAGAAAATATAGGCTAAAAGCAATAAGGGGCCATCCTCTTGAATGTTGACATTCCCAAAACAAGGCCTAGAAAGGGACAGAAGGCAGCAGTCATTCAAAGGAGGGTAGCCGGAAGACTGGGGATGGTGGAAAGTTCCAGCACCTCCGCCGGACAAAGTCGTGGTGAGAGACCATTGATGGAGTTCCCCAGAGAGAGGGGAAGATGGCTGGGAAGAGGCGGTTGGAGATAATGGGTTAGGCCTGGCACTCTACCCAAGGAGTGTGGCTGAGACCTGTCTTCTGTGGAAGGATCATAAGACGTGAAAAGCCCCCCGAGATCAGTCAGGCTGACTTCAGGTGTTCTCATACACAGGCTGTCTTCGAGGGTTTTCTCCATGGTCTTAGGTTTTCTGAAACATCAGAAATCTGGAGTGACATTAGAGACGCTAGGGGTGGTGTTGGACTTCTGTCCCAGGGCGCACGTTGGTGGGGAAGACTGGCAGAATGGCTGAGCTGTTGGAAAAGTACATTTTATTTATTTTTTTTTAAGATTTTATTTACTTATTTGTCAGAGAGAGAGAGCATAAGCAGGCAGAGGCAGAGAGAGAAGTAGGCTCCCCGCTGAGCAAGGAGCCTGATGTGGGACTCGATCCCGGGATCCTGGGATCATGACCCGAGCCGAGGGCAGCGGCTTAACTGACTGAGCCACTCAGGCGTCCCGGAAAAGTACATTTTAGGACTAAGTGACTGAGGCGCGTCACATGGATGGCGGGTCTAGAAGGAGGACAGCCAACGTGCCATGTCGTGGGAAGTGTCTTGTGGACTCTTACCACGTTTTATGTTGTCTTACCAGCTCTAAAGTTCGAGCCGGAAGTACTCATCACAACTAGGCTGCCTAACG